CTTGGAAGATATCATTGTTTAAATAAAAACAAAACTAAAAAAAATCTTATAGATATTAAAAAGAGAAGTATTATGTCAACCACCATGATTAGTGAGCATACAATTAATGGCAAATAAGTGAAGGTAGGGCATAGTTTTGTTTCCTTAGGCACAAGAACTGAAGATGGACACTGCTGAAGAAGAGAAAATTAATCCTAGGAAGATGGCAATTATAAACACAGACAAGATCATGAAGAATAAGGATATTTCTATGATAACAAAGATCGGAATAGTTAAACCAATAGCCTTTTCAGTGTAATATACTGCTGTGAAAATGGACAATAAGAAAGAACAGGAAAGAAAGACACCTGCAAATGATGGATTTGAAAGTGATTGCTAAGAATACCTTGGACTGCAAGAAGAACCAATCCATGGTCCTGGGTGAAATAATAACTGACTGCTACCTTGAAGTCATGATCAGCAAGCTGAAACTCATATATTTGGGCATGTGAGGCAAGCAAATGATGGACTAAAAAAACCCACTATGTTTGGTAAGGTTGAGGGAAGTAGAAGATAGGAAAAACAATAGGAATCAAAGTGATCACTGAAATATCATTGGAGAAGCTATAGATTATAACTAGAAATAGGTCGAGATAGCGTTTATCTCTATAGTCACCAGGAATCAAGCCAAACTTGATGTCATTTAAACAACTATTAAAAACCTGATACACAGTATTAGAGTTTGAGATACATATTAAGTGGAAGCAATTTTTTTCCTTCTAGATACCTGAAGTTATAGCCCAGAAAAATTAACTGTTTTGTCACTAACTACTTTATAACACAGTGAAGAGAAATGTAAAAAATAAATTACATTAGAAATCCATAAACAGATAGCTGTATTTATAAATCTGCTCCATTTAACAACTGTAAGCGCCCCACACTTCTCTTAAATATTGCTATATAAACAACAACCTTAAAGAGAACACTGTTGGGGGAGGAATTCTTTCCCCAGGCCATTTTCTTTTCAAAGAAAGCACCTCCGGCTGTTTTGCCTCATATAAGGGAAAAGATACAGAGATCTATGTATCTCCCCTATTGTGAGGGAGCTGTTCAGGGACTACTGAACAGAAATACAGCCTGAATGCTAAAATTAAATAAGACCCATTCATTCAGCCTCAGTCTGCTCCAGTGTAACACCTGCTTTTCATTTTAAACAAGCTATGGAATACTAAAGGAAAATCTCCTCCTTACGATTATCCACACTTACACTAATAATCAATGGTTAGTTAAATCAGTTTTGGGATCAATGATAATCTATTGAGGGAGGTGTGCGCTACGATCTGTGTTGCTCTCTAGTGTCCAAATGCACTGAGCTCTGCTAGTCAGCACGTGTGCAGAGATGGGCTGTATGTAAAGGAGTGTAGCCACTATGACTGAGGGTGTATGAATAAATACCCTAGCACTAAGCCCCCTTTGCAGCAATCTTGCCTTGCCACAAATTGTTTCAATTATGTTTTTCAACTAAGCCAGTATGAATATTTTTATTATAATACTTCCCAGTTTAGAAGAACTTCTGTACATTTATTTCAAACTAGATACACTCTTTGAATTTTAAAACATATGATAGTGATAGTTAAATTGGGCTTATAGGCTAGAACTGTGCTGCTTGTAATACATGATGCTATCTAAAGAGAAATCAGTCCATTCCATGCATTACTTTTTTTGTTGTAAAATCAAAAGATTTCAAATGGCTGACATTTATGAAATGTAGGATCGGATAAATTATGCAAGTGTGTAAATCTCTTTAAAATGAGAATGCTATTTCTAACAGACTCACTATATAAATCTATAAAAATGTATTCAAAACATGTATGACAAATCAACATCTTAATTCCCCGGGCAATATATACTTATTTTAAACAACTGGCCTATGCAAAAACAATAATCTTATTCTTTATAATAGTAGAAGATCCTTTAGATGTTAAGGGAGAGACCTAGAGGTTATTATACTATATATCCTAAAGCTATTTGTACTATATACTAGTTACATTTTTTGTTATGCAGACCTGGCTGTAGGTATTACACCATGTATTGTTTCCTGAAACACTGTATACAAATTTCTTCCTTACAACAAATCCAGCCAAAGCGATTGTACCAGTGTTTAACTGGTAAACCCCACAATAATTTCCATGTTATAGAACCATGACTGAAATTCGGGCATATAGAGTGCTTAATTTTCTGCATTGCAGAAATGGTTCCTCCTATCATGCTAATTCTACCTGCTTCCTTGTGCTGAGTTGCTATAGACAAAGACATAGCATTCAGTGAAAACTTTAAACATTACGCTGTGCTAGAAGGGGGACAAACAGTACATCCACCAATACAGTGGACAATATAATTCTCCATATCAATATTTACATTGCTATTTATGTATCAGTTAATAAGGAATCACCTCCTACATATGATTAAATTTTAGATGTTAGATCTCTTTTAGCTAGTTCTCTTTCCTTTCATAGAAGTTTTCAGTACTCAAGAAATTGACTAGATTTTTACACTACAGAAATGTGGTGTATAGTTGGAGAAATTAGGTATCGTAAGTGTCACAATCAAGTTATAAAAACAAATTAATTTGTTTAAAGGACAACAGCCAAGTATTCCCTGAACGTCTAATTTCAAATTCACTATTGGCTTTAAAAGTTAAAACATTATCAGTCCTTTAAACACTTAACATAGCCATAGAAATAATCAGTCCAAAGGCCCCAAATGTCAATGCAACCAAGAAATCATTGCACTTATTTTCAAACGCAAAATGTTAGGCTATTCATAACCAATCATGGCAAGAGAAATTCGGATTTTATTTATAAGAGGTCAAACTCTGTCATAAATAGTTTTCAATGTTTTCTTCTTCTTCACCAAATGCATACCCTGTATATGCCAACTGCCAATTATTAACACATTTCCAAGAAAGGTTTCTACCAACAAATATCTACATACTTATTTTGATTTCATAATTTAAGAATATTTCAAGAAGCATTTGTTCATCTGCCCATTATAACACATAATGACAAACTGAGATGATGGGATGTCATATACCTTATATTAATTCATGCATATTGCTTGCAGAATAAAATTTTGCAGAATAAAATCAACTTAAAAATTAAATCCATTTGGGATTAACTCTCACAATAAAAATATCATAGTCTCCTGATAATTTAGCAATAACGTATACACAACTCTAGAATCTAAACCCTAAATTTGGAAGATACAAACACTGTCAGCTAAATACGTGGGGGGCAAGTATGGCATCTGTCCTGGAGAAAAATCACAACAGAAAAGTAACTGCAGCAAATAAAATACCGCTTAGTTACATTATGAGCAAGGCTAGGGCCAGGTCTATGGCTGAGTCCTGGCGGCGTGTATTAGAGGCTAATGTTTCCTCATGGATCCACTGGCATAACACAGGTAGACAAAGGCAGCGCATAAAGCTTAGTACGGTAAGAAGCGGATCTAAAAGCCTACCTCCCTTGCAAGGCAAGAATGCAGGGCGCAGGGAGGAGGACTAGCGTTATCAGCGGCAACAAATCTGCACGACTTGGCCCTCTCTGGTTCTCTAAGCAGAGGTCGGACCAGTCCCAAAGGACGGAAGTATGAAGCTCCGGCAGCCTCAGCCCACCGTCGCGACTGGAACTGTCAGCTGCTGATGACGAGGATCGCCGGAGGGCGCCCCGCTGGGGAGGCAGGCGGAGGGAGGGGGCCGGGGGGAAGCTGGACGGGTACAAGCGGGGGGAGCCGCATCCCCGACGCGTATGGGCGGCGTGGACGAGCGGTCGCGCTCCCACGGGGCTGCGGGCTGAGCAGGGCAGGTGCGTCGCCTCTCGCCCGGGGAGCGGGGGGCAAAGCACGGGGGCGCCGGCGAGGAGGGAAGCGCAACGGGCGGGGAACCGGCCCCACTCCCCAATTTCCGCGCGCGTGTGGAAATTAGGGGTGGGGGAGGCGAGGCGACCGGCAACGGAGAGGCCTCACTTACGTGTAGATGATGGATATGAAGTGCATGAGCCACAGGACCAAGAAGAGGATAAGCCCGAAGACGGCGAGTCCCTCCAGGGCCAGATCCAGCATCGCCATCTCCCCCGGCCACAGGGCGCAAAGGGGCGGGGGGAGCTCAGAACGAGCCGAAGCGGCGGCTGCGGAGGCTCAACAGCGAGGCTCCGCCCCCTCGTTGGCTGCCCTCACGTTCCCCCTCAGACGCGGCCGCCCTCCTTCCCTTCCTGGCCTGCCCCCCCTTCCACGAGCCCCCCTCGCCTGGCCTCGCCTCGCC